CCCTCCTTCACCCGCAAATGATCTAAAAACGCGTTCAAGTACGTGAAATAACTGCACGGACCATTAAGTACGAAGAATCTCCCTTTCTCTCTTACTTTCCATCTCTCTCTCTCTCTTTTCCCAACCACCTCCTTCTCGCTTAGTCGGTGCATAGAAACATTAACGTCGACCGCGAATCGATCCTAGGTATTGCCCTCAGTGTTTTGCAGTTCATTGCACCGCGGCTTACTCAATTCGCGTTATCCACGAATCGCAATATTTGCGTACGCTCAAAGGGATGGCGTGATATAGAAGTGTTGACTGTTGATGCTTGTCATATTTATCTCGCACGACCTGTCAAGCGTGTTTCTCACTCATAGACAAGTTAATATTTGCAAAAATGTTAACTCCTGGATACTAACCAAGAATAGAAATTCCAGAATTGAATTTGTTGAAAAAAATGAAGATTTTATTTTTTTAATGTTAGATTATAATAAATTCCACTGAACTTTCCTAAACAGTCACATTTAAAAACTGCTACTTTTCAGATGTGTATTTCAGAGAATAAATTAAATTTTACAATTATCACAATTAAATTTTATAATTACTAATTATAACTTTGACAGAGAAAGCATTTTAGCGCTTATAATAAACTGATAAAACGCATAATCTTTGAATAATAAATGTAAACTTTGTATTTTAAGATCATTGTACATGTTTTACAAATATCTGATCGTATATATATATATATATATATATATGATCTAATATAATATATATATATATATATATATATGTATATGTATATGAGATATACGTTGCAATATATATGAGATATACGTTTGACAACTGTCCACATGTAGATTGTTATTCAAATCGTACACTCGATACGTATCCCGTTCACTACGGTAATTACGATTCTCAACGGCTGTATGTATGGATCGAAAATACGCATTCAATTGTTATTCGATGGGTTATTTGTTTTATAGAATTACTAAAAATCGAGATCCGCTTTTACAGTGCAAAATAGAAGGATTGTTATACGTAAAAGAGATCGAGTTAATCATGCGAATACGTCCGTTAGTGGTATTCCATGAATTTCGGTCACAAAGAGGAATTTATTTTATAGTAGAAAATTAAATAATAAATTGAAACTTCCTGACTCGTACGTACGTTGAGTGTATTATGTAGTTGTTTCGCAAACAGTTTATCTCTGGCGTAACATCGAAATATCATTTTGCACATTTGCGTAGATGGCGGATTAGTCGAAATGAAAAATTGTGCGTCGCGTTTTTTAGCACAAGTGAGATCTTGTTACCGTTGGAACGGATATTTTTTTTTAGACTGTGATATGTATAAACGACGCAGCTACATAGGTAATAGCTAATCCCGGCCGCTGCAAGCTATAATGCATTCACCAATTATATTATTAATTGTAGACTAAGCGCATCGGTCTTCTATAATTCCACGAACGCATCTGAAGGACTGAATTTTCCACGTTTTCTCATTGATTATATTGATTGCATCGAACTTTACTAAATACACCGACTGACCTGCATTCGGTATAAACCTCAAATAATTGTATATAGGGTAAAATCAATCTAAATATATATGATGAAATAGCATTTTTCAAACGTTTTGCAGCTTTCGTAATTGTATTTTCTTCTTTACGAGCCGTACACAGATTCTTCTACGGTTACATCCGTTAACCGTAATTGGTCGGCAGCTTTCGAGAAAAAGTATACTGCGCATTAAGTATACGCGTGACGGTGGTATCTCAGGATGGACTTGTAAATGGAAACGACCTCGTAAGGTTTCATGGAAACTGCCCGGGTATCCTGTTTCCCGATGATTCTTTCAATATATGGATATCGAGAGATTGCACGCAAAAATAAAAATTAGCAATTTACGAAGCAATCATTTTGATCAATCTCAATTAGCCAACAATACTCAATTATATCTACCTACACTGTAATTGCAAAAGGCAATTGCAAGTAAAAAAAAAACGAACGGTAGACGAAATTGTGTGCATAAACTTTGTCTCTATAAGCACAATCGCAGTCCGGATTTGTTTGTCATTGAAAAAAGTCCTAAATAAATGAAATTGTATGATTTTTTTTTTAATACTTTGATGATACTGTGTACTCATTGTAATTACTTAGCACTTACAATAGCGCTTCATTGGTCTTTAGCTTATTTTTGCAAAAATATTTTATTGTGTTATAGTACCTACACACTCTTTTAGCGCACCTTCGCGGAATATAAACCGCATGACCAGCACGCAAAAAATACACGGTCGATGCGACGTAGCCGCATAATAACAACGTGAATTTCTCTCTCTCTCTCTCTCTCTCTCTCTCTCTCTCTCTCAATGTTTTTCGTGAAAATATGTATCCAGTCGGAATCGCCAGAACGTGTAAAAACAAATGCGCGATATGCCACGCGCGACGCAGCGCGATGCGACGTCTCGCACGCGCCACGCAGATTAATCCGACAAACGGAAAACTGATTAGCGAGCAGCAGGTATCGCAAACTCATTTTATTTCGGGACGTTCCGGCATGCGTTCCGTAAAAAATATAATTTCGCGCGCGCTGGATCAACCATAAATAACGTACAATGTTATGCTACGCCGATTATGTATGTTCCTTGGCTACTACGGCGCATGTTGTATGTACTTGCCACTACACGCGGAAATTGTTTAACCGGAATTCAATGCCTAATTACATGCGAATCGCGAAACTTTCGTTTAATCCTTTCGAAGCTACGAACATATATATAAGTAATGACAACTGACAAAAATTCTGAACAGTTTGCGATAACATGCGAGTGAATGTGTCGAGTATACGGATTTTATTGGTATACGGAAATACGCGACACAATGTATTGATTGTTACAAACACGCCGGCAAAAGTTTTTTTTTTTTTAAAGTCCGACGAGAGGCACGAGCGTTAACAATTTTCTGTTTGAACTTGCATACGTACGGATGAGTATCGCGATTTGACCGCTTGTTAAATTCAAATCGATCTGCTAAGGTACAGCGCCGGAAAGGACGGTTCCGTAAAAACTAATGGCGCATGGATTACATGTTTCGATTATCCAGTTTATTCGGACGAAATGCCAAAGCCATCGAGCATTGCGCAACGATAACGGACACGCCGGTAATACGTACACGAGTGCACTTCGATATGTATTGCAACGGCGTATGATTTAGTAGCAAGTTATTACTTCAACGTGATTTCCGCGTTCGATTATTGCAAATTGGGCAAATTTAATTAACGAGTCTGAAAACGTTCACTTCCATTCTTCACGCTTGCCCGATTTTCCCGTGGAACATACTGTAGGCATTGTAAAATGTTAAAAAATTTATTTTCAATTTTGACCTTATAATTATATTTTTAATGCTTTACAACCGATAAAACGCATTATGCCACATTATGTTTTAACTTTTGTTAACTTCTGCTGCGTCCCTTTTTCAAGAATGGAGTTTATTTGTATTAATAAGTTTTTTCTACGCAGTATACGTGTATAAGATAATGTCGAAAAAATTTAAATGATTTACTTCGCAAAATTACGAAATAATATTTCCCTTGCCTGCAGCATATATAGTCGCATATAACCGACTATTCCTCGCACAAAATGTCTCACGCCCCGGTATAACGAAGGACATAATGCAAATATTTAATAGTATGCACGAAACTTTGGGATAATAAAGAGAGGGAGGAGCATAGAAATAGCATATTCGAGTTCATTGTAACGTGATTATCAAAAATTTCGAATTTGACGGTACGCTGTAATGTGCTGGTACACAAGAAATTCAATATTAATTAAAATTTTTTTCGTAATAAGAGAAGAGCTAATAAGCCAATTTTTTTAATTATTTTTAGTAACACCAGAATTATAAAATGCAAAACTATATCAAACATCCCCTTTAAAAACTCTGAAAAATAAACGAAATTTAGTGTTTAAAATTTTAATTTCAAACTTTGATTTAAAGAAAAGGATTCGAATTATTTAAAGCTATTAAGAATATCGATCCAAAATTAATTAGAATCAAGTCAATGTTCTTTATACCTTTCGATTTTATACTTGCAATTTCTATATTTAATTATAAGTGCATTTATAATTTTGATTCTCGTTCTTATTTTCTCACTGTTATAATTTCATATTGCGGAACTTTATCTTTTATTCTCTAAATTTCTACTATTACAGCAATCGAAAAGCGGTAACTCTGGAGTATCCGCGAATGACTATTCGCGGATTCAAGGATTAAGAGACTTGCGTCCGATATACCTAATCGTTCGTGCAGGGGTGTTTACGAAGGGACGCCGCGCCGCGCCGCGCCGCGCCGGGTGCAACGCGCCATAGTCTCGCGCACTATTAAAAGCGCCTGGCAATGTATATGTGCGCGGCGACCATTAAACCGCTCCCGCTATAAGTAAATTCGCAGGAACTACTCATGCCGGCGGCCATAAAAGTTAATCTTCGCCGCTCTTTCTCGCGCACGGCACGGCGCTATTCTCGCCGTCCCTTCACCCTCGTCCGAGTCCGCCCGGACGATGCGGAAAGCGAAATCCGTATTTCTTTCGACGGGGCTGCCTCCGCAGCAGGCCCGGGAGGGTAGATAGCGAGACTACCCGCGCGGGCTGCGCGTGGGTGAGAGATAAGGAAGAGGAGGAGGAGGAGGAGGAGGAGAAAGGGATATGGTAAAGAGCGAAGGGAGGTCGCGGAGTCGCGACACTGTGTCTTACCTTTTTCGTCCGTTTGGCAGTAACCCAACAGCGAGGCTGTTACCGCTAAGAACATTAGCAGTCCCATGTCGGTGAGAAACGTTGGCCTTTTCCTGTGCATCTTCTTTTATTCAGCCCCAACCCCGCTGTCCCTCCGCCTGTCCACCACCTCCTCCCGCAGACTCCCCGCAGACTAGCGCGCACTCTCTCTTCCACTTCCACGGGGGGTGAAACAGGCAGCACCGGTCTGACGAACGACCTCACGGACCGGCTCTTAAGGGATATCGATTTCACGTGACGGGGGTTACAAAACGCTATTTACGGGGCAGAGCGGGCTAAGATTCGAACGTACTTTTCCCATCCATTTCTTGCTCGTATGTCTTCCCCGTCACGCACATCGCGGAATCTTCCTCTCTCTCTCTCTCTTTCTCTCTTGCACTTCCGCGAGGCGTCCGACGTCAACGAAAGAATCACGACGGTCGAATTGAGACGCTTCTCGCGGGCGCTTATCGATCGTAGATCGGAGCGCGCGGCGGCGCGTCCGTAGGGACGTTAACGGCTGATTTAGTGGAAAAGTGTAAAACCGCCGAGTGCTCCCACGTACGTAGTCGTCGTTCTCGCGGGGTAACGGATCTCCCAGGATGCGGCGCGAACGGCGCGGGAGCTGGCATCTCGTTGCACGTATTCCCTCCGGTCTCTCTGGTGCCGCACCACCGCCACGCCGATTCGCTCGAATCTGAAAGAACAGCGGCGCACAGCTGCAAAACGACCGCGCAACGTACAGATTTCTCGCGAAGCGGATACTCCGTACCGCCAGCCAACGCCGACGCTTTGAGCTTACGGGCACGTACACGCTCGTTGCAGAAAACTCGCACTCGCGAAAACTCGAGTCAAAGCATTGAACGCCGTGAAGCAGGTGCGTTTTGCACCCCGGGAGTTTTCACAGGCAAAGAGAGAAACGTTTTTATAAAAAAAATATTATAACAGTTTTTATTTAAAAATATTAAACAATTTTATAAATATAGCATATTATCTCTTCTACCTATTCTTATACATAACATCAATGACAGAGAAGAAAAAAAATGAAATCCTAATGTGAATAAGGGAGGCAACATGTGTCTCACCTGTCTATCGATTATTGTACGCGCTTCTCATCGACACATTCCAATGAATGCTGTATTATTTATTTACTTATTTCGCGTATTATACATATATAGTAGTCTTTCCATAGAGAAATACTATATATTTATTTATTTTTTTCCCGTCTTATCACTGTTGACAGGCGCGAGAATTTAATCGCTTATTGCGATTCTTTTCCCTATCTTTTTTTTCTATTCCAGTTAAACAGAAATCGCAAGATAATCGGCAAAGTAATACATATGTATATCGACAGCATATGATAGCCTATCTACTCATCACGATATGCACCTACTACTGGAAGCGTCGTATCATCGTATCATAGAAGCGAGAGTTCTTTACATCTATGCTTGGCAGGATGCAGGTACTTTTAATTAGTTATATGGAGTTTCAACTATGCATATCTCGATTCGACTCGTGAATATCCGTCTCCACTCGATCGTGCGTAACTGCAGTTTCAGATAAATATCGCTTGCTCAGCTTGAGTTCCAACGTAATTTTCTTTAATCAAGCCTGCAGATCACCGGAATGTTGGCGTATTTTTTTCTCGCGGAAATTATATCCCTTTTTCCTTCCTCTGGAATTTAATTTCTATTAAATTTCAAAATCTCTCAATTACGAGAGGATTTTGTGATTAAAAATACGCGATAGGATAAGCTATTAATACTATGATTTAGTACAATTAATACATAATCTATGAAAGACTATTTCAAACTGATATTAGTAGTTAGTTATTCTTTTTATGTGCAAAACAACATAATTCCAATACACAGCTAAACTTAAAGCTTTAGTTTTTAAAAATTGCTACTAAAAATTTTGGTTGGACGGCTATTGATATGACCGAGCTTCAAAAAATCAGGAAAATTCGTTCCGCGTGAATGTTTATATCAAAATTTCCTCTGCTGGGCAAAATCTCTCAGAATCAATATATAGATTGTGATAAGAATTAGATGCAAGACTTTTTTCAAAATTTTAACTCGACTACCAGCAATGAGCGATTATTTCATCGTTTTATATTTGTTTTAGCGATGTAAATATGTATGGTTATGAGAGTTCTTGCCGAAGTTTTTCCGAAGAATTATTTTCAGGATGAAAAAGCAGCAACGTGCCGCGTGACGCTATTGTTCGAAAGCATCATAATCTCAGTGTGCCTGGTACAAAAAAGCAATAAAGGTAAAGCTAATATTTTTCCGACCAAGATATTTGCGAGGCCGTTATAACGCCCCGGAATTAATACACTCGCACGGGCGATTTATAAAAATATCCGCGGAAATATCGATAAATAACTGTTTGAAGATACAGTCTGAAATAATTAACAAAAATTATTTTTGGCGCGACACGTGATGAATAAATCTCACTGACGCTACATTCGGAATACCGCGCGGCTGTTACGGGAATATTCATAATGAGAAGGCAGAGCGAAATTCGCGGGGTAAACGCATTCTTGATAGTCGATATAATCGTAGCATAGGAGAAGCTCCATTTCAGTCTATCGTGTGGCAAATCATACGCGATAACAAATTTCGTGGTACGTCGCTGTCGTCTAAAATAATTAATTATTCCTTGTCGGTGGCGAGAGAGAGAGAGAGAAAGTCGCTGCCGCCGCCGCCACTCGTTCCCGCAACCACGAAAATTACCGCGGTTGAAATTAAAACCACTTGAAACCCCGCGTTTGTTCGCGTCCGTGAGCGCGGTCCGGAAGGCGGTATTTTTCCGCCGTTGCGAAAGCCCCCCTTGCATTCCAAATGTGCGAACGCTAGCTTCCGCGCGATAAGAAGTTTTCCGCGCAGGGTCTAAAAGAGGGACTTTCACACCGCGAATCTAAACATTTAAACGACCCCGTGCCAGCCCGCAACTTGCCACTCTCTCCTTCCTCTCTCACCCCGCTGCCATTGGTTTACTTCGGGAGTTTCTCACGAGAGAGAGAGAAAGAGAGAGCGAGAGAGAGAGAAAGAAAGAGAGAAAAGAAAAAGAGAAAAAGAGGATAGAAATGTGAGAGATACGGGGGAGAGAGAAAGAGAGAGAAACAGCTTCGAGAGGACTTCTCTAGCGTCTCGGCCTCTGCGAATCTCATTTACAGTGACCGACATTCGACACGGTCAACGATCCTCGAGCAGCGAACGACGACGAAATAGAGAGAAAGAGACAAAAAAAAAGGAAAAGAGGCAGAGGCACAAGACGAGCAAAAAGGGCAAGCCGACACGCTCGACATGCACACGGGCCATATTTTTCGTCCTCTCGCTGCCTCTTCCTCCCTCCCTCACTTCTTCCTCCTCGTGCACGAGTTCCCACTCGTCCTCTACATCGTCGATCGTCTCGACGCAACACCCTACATCGCGGGGGAAAAAGCGTACACCGGTGCGAGCCGATTGTTCCTATTCAACGGACGAGGGCAAAACAAACCACCCCCGACTGCTAGCAGCCCCTATTTCCAGCCGTCACGCTGAACGAGACTTCGAACGCTCATCCATAACGCAACCCGTGTAACTCGTTCTTGCGAAACGCGTCGAAGTAGCAAACTGCGCGCTTTTGTTCGAAAGATACACGCTCTGTGAATGATCCGTCGTTTTGTCGAATCTGGGCTTCCCGTGAATATCTATGTACGCGATATCGCTCTCCTCTTTTTCTCACCATTTGCGCTCTCCCACGGTTGGCCGCGCGCGTCGGGGAAATCGGTAACGCGGTTTTACCGCGTCTAATTGTCGCCGCGAAGAAGGGACGGCGGGCGAAATTTACGTGGAAACGGTGCCACAGTTCGCGCGATGCGGACGCGCATACACGTACACCTAATACAGAGGGATATATGCACACATACGCGTACATATATCGGGCTTGTAGAAAGCCGCTTAATCTCGCGGCGGATTCACATGAAATAATCGGGCAGAGAGATACATCTCGGTAATTTCCAGTACTCCCACTCTCCCCCGGCTTCGGCGTCCGATTAAACGGGGCTCCCGGGCTATCACGGTAGAACGGATGATGTTTTTACCATACTTCCTGTTTTTACGCGGCGTTGAAGAGGGTCACGACGACTGGTCGAGGGACCTGTCGCAATGATATGATACTCTCGTCCCGATAGAAACACATATGCACACGCACACGTGCGTTACCTCTCTCTTTCTCTCTACTTCCTCTAACGCGTTTTTGGAGCATATATGTGGCCATTCCGCGCACACATGGTCGTGTTTGCACACGCGAGATTTCGTCCGCATATAGACGGAAAGAGGAATATAATGGAGAAGAAAAAAGAAAGATGCTTCAGCTAAAGGTGTAAGATTGTAAAAACCAATAATGGGGTCCGCAATTAAAAATGTGGATACAGTAAGATTCTTCACAAGATTTTCTTACAATTAATAATTTTATCTGGCGCAACCTTTAGACGTGACATGTAATTCGATTACTGATCGCAATCAATATCGACCAATTAAAATCGGAATTTAAAGAAATAAATATTTTTATATACTTTCTAGAAAAAAAGCAATGATACGCGAATTTGTTTAAAACAGAGGTATACGCTATATACCTCGTCATAGTCGATATATGACGTATTTTTTTTAAATGGCTCGAATAATCCTGAAAAATAGCGTTTTATCTCGACTAGCGCATTTTCCTCCCCCAGTTATCCCGCTTCGATCTCGGCGAGAACGGCGCGGGATTTTCATCGTATTTGTGAGGCGAACGGCACCACGATACATCCTGACGTCTTTTCGCAGTTACGCGGCAGATAATATTTTTATCGCGTCTCTCTGACTACGTTACCTCAGCAATCAGTACGAGACGAGGCGAGGGTAGTAGCGCAGCAGATACGTTCCATCCCTTTCAACAAAGCATCCCGCGTACACGTACGATCAAGTCGTATATAGCGTCAAGCGACACGTAGGGATCGAACGCACCGCAAATTTCGGCCAAGATGAGCCGGGGCAAGGACGTAGCCTTAAAGCGTAGAGCCGGAGCACGTCGAGCGTCGGTACACACCGACGGGTA